ATCATCGTGTCCGAAGCGTAGACCGGTGATTAAGCAAAACTCCTCCCGCCCAAAACACGTATACGTCGGTGGAAAATCAAACCATATCTCTTCATCACGACGTTGTATAGTCTCTGGTAGATCGCTAGTCATGGTTTGAAGAAACAGGTGTGTCAACATCGCATCTCCACCGGGATGTTGTACTTTCAGCCATGGCCCGAAGCATGTATCCTCAAACATTTTTCTTTGTGCAGGTGAAAGCTTCGACACAATTGTTTTGGCCAGGCTGACTTTATTTCTCAAGGTCAATTGAGCCGAATAAAAGTACTACAAAAACAATAAACATACTAAATTAGATATACCAAAAACTACACTGTGAAGATATACCAAAAACAATAATAAACATAAATAGTAGTAGTTTATTCTTCAAACTTAAATATGCAACACTGTGAATTTCGTATTTGTCTTTGTTTTTTGGTTGAAGTAATGCAATTCATTCAAGTTTCAATTTGCAGAAGAAGAATAGTTTCTGAAAATGAAAATCGCAACACGAAAATGACTATCGCAACGAGAGAATCGCAACGCGAAACTAAAATCGCGTTGCGATTTGCATTTCGCGTTGCGATTCTTGGTTGATTTAATAAGCAATCTAAGTGAAATGGTTAATCTATTATTGAAATTACCAGTAAACTTATCATCAATTTCAATATGAAAAACCTAATAATAATGCAAAAATTTCAAAAAGAAAATAATTAAAAAAACTAACCCTTGTTGGTTGATTTGGTTGATTTTCCATTTCTGATTGTGAGGGTGGCTCTGAGAGATGGAGATAGACGGATTTCGCCGGAGATGGGGACGGATTTCGTCGGAGATGGGTGAGAGAGTGAGAGATGGAGATGGGACTGAGTTGTGATTTTAGGTTTTAGGTTATGAGTTGCGATTACGGGATATACTGTGGACAGTTCAGTGTTCCAATATATTAATATTCATGTTTGGAATTTAAAAATAAAATACTTGGTCAGGATACTAATGGCGCTTTGAAAATCGCATTGCGATTATGTATTATCGCGTTGCGAAAGTCAGTATCGCGTTGCGAAAGTAAGTATCCCGTTGCGATTTTTTATTATCGCATTGCGATAGTCAGTATCGCATTGCGATTTTCCCAATTCGCGTTGCGATTTACTTATTCGCATTGCGATTTTCCCAATTCGCGTTGCGATTTACTTATTCGCATTGCGAATTGGGAAAATCGCAACGATACTGTAGACCATCGCAACGCGATTTCCAACTATCGCAACGCGAAATGCAACGCGAATTTGCGATAATGGAGATCGCGTTGCGAATTAGCGATCGCATTGCGATTTTGTTGGTCATTTTGGCAAATCCGGAAAAAGTTGGTTAAAATCGTATATTATATGGGATTTTTGGTCACTGAGGTTATTTTCTCTTAAGTTAATATGAATCTAGTCATTGCATCCAATAAAGTTAATGGTCCGTTTTAGCTGCTAAAAGACAACCCCTTTGGGTTTTACAAAAGGCAATGGCCTTTGTTGTTCATGACAGGTAAAAAAAGATTTATCCAACTTCAACTCGTTAAGCCTTGGCTCTAAGATGTCTGGAGATGCTTTGCCGACCATGGGTGTCTATTGGCTGTAGGCAGGTGGATGAGTGTTGGTGTTTGTTTTGTCTGAGTCGAGCGAAGCAAACAGGTCCCTAATTTTCGTGCTAGCTGTTTGGCAAAAATAAACGTGGAGGGACCCAAACATCACCCAAAGCGTCTCCCATTGATACTGCTTGGCTCTGGCCTTTGTGGGGTCCGAATCATGTGGACTGACTATACACAGTCATCAGCTATCGAGAAAATCTCTCACCCGGCTTAGTGCTTGCCTTTGCTCGCATGACGACAATGCCATTTGGATAAGGTGACTATTGAGAAGCCAATGCGACATTTCATGCATCACTCCACCTATTCTTTGGATCGCCGCCCACCATTTACTCTTCCTCTTGTTTGGCTTCTTTCTTAGGCGCTTCCAAGTTGCAACAATCCACACCAGAGCTGGACCCAAAATAACTCTTACAAGATCCTTCAAAGGAATCTCTAATCTCCTTTAATAACTTGTTTCATAGGTAGACTCACTTATTAACCGTCTTATTATGTTCTAATTATCGCCTCTCATCATTTCAGATATATTCAAAATATATCACTATATCATTTTAATTTATTTGTAAGTTTATATCATTTGTTTTCTACCTATATATACGTAGTTCGTTAATAATAACACGACACGTGACACCTCGAGATAAAAAGAATTATAATAAGATCATGATTTTTAAGAGAGAACTGAATAACTTTCACTATATCTCTTTCCTATATCTCAACCGTTATATTTTTCTGTTATTTGTATTACCCTAAACAAAATAAACCAATAATTTATTTTTATATAGACGATTAAGTAGATATAAAAAATATTACTAATATTTATGAGATTAAATGATAAATAATATGATATTTTTTTCAAATAAGATATGAGTTTAGATATTGGATTTTTTTATTGTTGTTATTATTTTTGAAAGAGGAGGTATTGTTGTCGATTTGTTTGTGAAAGAAAAAATTGATTGTTAAATAGAGGTTAGCAAAACTCGACTAGAATCGAAAAATCGATCTTTTCAACTCAATTCGAATCGAAAAAAATTCGACTCGAATTGACTTCGAGTTGTAATTTCATAAACTTGACTCGATTTGAAAAAAATCAAGTTCAAATCGAGTTGTAAAATACAACTTGAATAACTCAAATTTTTAATAATTAGTAGATTAATTTTAAAGTTTGAGTTGAGTCCCGAGACTCTCTACATATGAAAAAAGATATATATATTGTATATGGTTATAAAAAATCATTTAAATTAGAATAAAATAATATCATAATATTATAAATATTTACAAATAAATTTAAACATGAATTCAAAAAATTGGCTCGACTCTACTCGACTCGAAAAAATTTCAAGTCAACTTTTAATTATAAAATAAAACTTATCAATTCGAGTAACTCGTAATTTTTTAACTTGTCTCGATCGAACCTATTATTAAAGACTCAAAGGAGTTTACACACAATAACTTGTAATTTAATTAATTAAAGATTAATGAGATATACGAATAATTTAATAATTGAATTGAAAAACTAATATGCCTTTGTATTATTATTGCTTTGATTATATTTTAATCATATTTATTTGATTTAAGGTCCATAATTCGATGCATTTGTCTGTGAAGCACAATGTAAAAACAAAAATCAGCCTTCTGCAACGCCAAGTAATTAAAAAAAACAGTCATAAAGTTTGAGACAATGAGAGGGAAAATTATTGGGAAAAACACGTCATACAACTTTAATATAAGTTAAAAAAGATGTTATCAGTTATTATTTAAATAAAAAAAATTGGTAAAAATTTATCAAAAATATTATTATTTTTATTGATTTTATTATTATTAAACGCTTTACCTATTTTATTAATAAAACCGGTAAAATATTATTAATTTTATTATTTTTTCTACATATATTTTTATTGTTGGACACTTTACCATAAATATTAAAAAACATTAATATTTTAAGAAAAAATAATAATATTTTAAATAATTTTTTACTAATTTTATTATTTAAATAATAAAAAATTGATAATACTTTTTTAATTGTATATTAAGGTGTCACGCGGTACAACTTCTCTATACCAAAAAGGGACTATTTGCTCGATATATCACCGGTGATCGGTATTATTATCGATCTAACACCGATAAGACTATATTTTCTGATTTAACACCCTTAACAGAAAAGCACGCCCCCTGCACCTCTCTATATGCTGATTTGGCGCCACGTGGGTATAGCGCACCCTGCCCCGTGATATACGGTGATCTGACGCCACGTGGGTATAGCGCGCCCCCTGATCCGCGCTATCCCTGGATATCTGACACGTGGGGTATAGCGCGGTGCAGGGGGCGCTATACCCCTAATGGCAACAATGATGTTGGACGACATTATTATGTTACTTCCAACATGAATCTTTCTCGAAATCTTCGTTATTAGCTCCTCAAGAGTTATGTTTATTTTAAATGATATTTTAATACGCTCATTTAATACGAAAACAACGCCGGTTTCATCTTTTCGAATTTCACCATCATAGTAAACAATAGCTGAAAGTCGCGTCATTCTTTGAGTTTAAAAGTGCGGCAATATTATATCTGCAAAAAAATAACTTAAACAAACCTGATTAAATAAATTTTATATGAACGAAAATATAACACAATAAATTTTTTACACATTAGCGTAAATAATTTAAATAATATAATTTATATTATTATCTGCACCGCAAAATTATTTCGACGTATGCTCCCGCTTTTCAATTTTACAAATATAAAAATTAATTGAAAATAATTAGTATAATATTTTTTCAAATAATGATAATAAACAATAAGTATAATTAAAAAATTATAACAAAATTACTTTATAACGAAAAATCGCACGAACTTCTAAATCAAATTTGAGAAGATTGTGAGAATTATTACTCGTTAACGGAATTGTTGTATTAATTTATAAGAGATGAGAGATGTGAGCCGTTATAAGCATATAAGGCGCGATACCTGCACCGCGCTATATGTAATTATTCAGATAAAAGATATAGCGCGGATCAGGGATCATGTTAAATATAATTTTGGCGTATAGCGCGGACCCTGATCCTCGCTATACTCCTACGTGGCGTATAGCGCGGATCAGGGGGCGCGCTATACCCACGTGGCGTCAGATCACCGTATATCACGGAGCAGGGGGCACGCTTTTCTGCTAAGGGTGTTAGATCAAAAAATAATATGACCGATGTTAGATCGATAATAATATCGATCACCGATGATATACCAGAAAAATAACCCAAAAACGAAAAATAATATACTAATAATAATGTTGAACATTGTAGTTGGCCACGAGATACAGTTCAAATACTCCATTAGCTTTGCACTTCATTTCTCAATTACTACAGTCTCTAGCTTAAATCGGACGCCACCACTTAGAGCTTCTTTTAGGTTTACCCCGTACGCGCCACCACCGATTAGTGTGTTAGAATGGGCTGTACGGCATCCAAGCTGGACAACGAAGACACAGTAAGGCGATGCAAAGACAGGCGCCGCCTTATGAAGGAAGCCGTTCACGCTCGGCATCACCTAGCCGCTGCTCACGCCGATTACTGCCGCTCTCTCCGTGTCGCCGGCTCTGCTCTCTCAACCTTCGCTGCTGGTGAACCCCTTTCCGTCTCCGACGAAACCCCCGCCGTCCTTATCCATCCCGCCGCACCATCTCCGCCGACGCCGATTAATCTGATCCCTCCACGTGACCCTTCGTATCCGTCCTCCTCCTCCTCCTCCTCCTCCTCCTCCTCCTCCTCCTCTATCCCCTTCCCCATGTTCTCCAACAATTGCTAGTTCCAAACTCCCTCACATACTCTCGGCTTCGAGCATCCCATCTCCAGCACCCAATCGTCGTCGGCCACGTAAGGTTCCCCCGAAACTCCCTCACATATTGTCCGAATCGAGTCCTTGTTCTTCTCCACAAAGCTCGAAATCCGGTTTCTCCAACAACTTTTTCCCTACGGCTTATCAAGCGAATTCCACTTATTCAAACACTCCTTCCCAGGCTTCTTCCGTTTGGAACTGGGAGAATTTTTACCCTCCGTCTCCACCAGACTCCGAATTCTTTGACCAAAAATCACTACAACGAAAGCAGCAGCAGCAACAACAATTAACTTATCGCAATCATCATTTGGATTCAAACTACCCTGAAGAATTGGAAGATACTGAAACAGAAAAATCAGAGTACGATTTCTCTCGTCTACATAACACGAACAATCGTTTCAATAACAATTCCATTAACGGCAAGAGTAATTTCGACGAGGAAACCGAAAGAGAAGAAGTGCAATGCAGTGAATGGGGAGACCACGATCGTTACACTACGACGAGTTCATCGGATGAAGACGAGGAAGAAGATGATGACGTGGCATCCAGATCCGAGTTTGGGAATCGCTCCAATTTTGGTTCGTCGATGAGAGGGGAGTCGGAGAAGTTGCATCATCTTCATAATCAGACTCCTTCGCCGGTACAGCCGCAGCAGCAGATTTATGGGGCCGTCGCGAGGAATAAAATCGGCAGTAAGTCGGAACATGCGGGATCGTCGACGGAAAGTTATAGAACGGGTGCTATGATGGATATGAAAATGGTTGTTAGGCATAGAGATTTGAAAGAGATTGTCGATGCGATCAAAGAGAATTTCGATAAAGCTGCCGCAGCCGGAGATCAGGTATCGGAGATGCTTGAGATCAGTAGAGCTCAGATTGATAAAAGTTTCAGGCAATTGAAAAGTAAGTTCCAGTTGTGGAAAATTTTTTAAGCTAAATTCAGCTGAAATCGATTTAATTTTAATCTCATTTACTTTCTTTCTGTGATTCTTTTCAATATGTTTTCCATTTTACAGAGACGGTGTATCATTCAAGTAGCGTGTTCAGTAATTTGAGCTCAAGCTGGACTTCTAAACCGCCGTTGGCGGTGAAATACCGATTTGACGCGACTGCGCTCAATGAAACGGGCGGTTCAAAGAGCCTTTGCTCTACTTTAGACCGGCTCTTGGCTTGGGAGAAGAAGCTCTACGAGGAAATCAAGGTGAAAGTTTCTCCTTTTTCCCTTTTTCTTTATATAAAAAAAAAGACCTTTAGTTTTTATATATTCATTCTTTTTAAAAATGGTTTAGCTTTTTACTGATAATATTGATGCTCTGTAGCGTAAGTCCACCGCAGTGCTCGACTGTTAATTTTTTCCTTCAACTTGACTAAAACACCCCTTTAGGAAACTGTTAATGGGATCGAATCTTATGGGGCACGATCGTCATATACTTTTATTCTACTTTGTTTTTGTTTACTTTTTAGTATTATTAGTAGTATGATAGAGTTAGAATGATTAAAATACCCTCGGCATTGATGTTAGACAGTTATAGGAGCATTATTTCCAATTTTCCATGGCCAACGAACTTATCTTTTAAGGTGAAATCTTATTGTGCTTTGAATGAACCGCGGTTGAAATGGCAAAGGACTTGTTGTTTAGTTTTTAATTGACATCAGTTTCGGATTTTATTCCTAAACAAACCCCATCCCAAGGATGGATTGAGGGGCTAGCAGTCGTCCCTAAAAATTTTAAATTCTCGTATAATTTAAATATTTTCTTTGTATTTTTTATTGATAATCTTTTTTCGTCCCTTATAATTTTATAAATTCACCTTCCCTAACCTAAAATCTTACAGCCATCCCTGCCTACCCCTATTCTTAAACCCCTTGTATTTTAGGCTTAATAGTTAATGATATTATTTTAAGCTGGAGTCAATTTAACTACTATTAGCCAACTACCCTCTTTCCCTTCTAGATTCTCAATCTTGCATTTGTTAATAATGTAGTTGGAGATTTTTTGTTTGGGGAATGTTTTCTTTCACATCATTACATGAGCTTTAGTTTCTTACCTTCCACCTACTTTAATTAGAGCTGGTTGGTGGAGAATAAAGATGATTTCAGTTAATTTGCCTCTATGCTTCAATTGTAAGTTATTCACGGTGACGTTTTGTACCGAATTTTTGCTGTTTTGTTTTTGTATTGAATGCTAAGGAAAAAAGTTGCCAGGTATCTTTTTGGGGGTTAATGATTTCCCCCCCATAAACGTAGTGTTATTTTTATTGAAGTTCTGTAAGTTTCTTGAATTGGTTGGACATGTTGATTCTGGTGCATATTATCTCTGGATAAGAAAATAATTCGAAACATGTGCAAATATAATTTGATAATTTACCTGGCTGTTGCCTTCCTACGAGGCTGTGTTTATGCTGTTTTCAGTTATGTGTATGTTGGATATATGTTGTTGAGATGAGTGCTGATATAGGCAATATATGTTAAACACTTTCAGGCTAGAGAAGGTGTAAAGATTGAACATGAGAAAAAGTTGTCAGCGTTGCAAAGTCAAGAATACAAGGGGGAGGATGAAACCAAGATAGACAAAACCAATGCATCAATAACAAGACTGCAGTCACTAATTATTGTCACGTCTCAGGCTGTCTCGACCACCTCTACTGCCATTATCGGGCTCAGAGACAGTGATCTTGTTCCACAGCTTGTTGAACTTTGTCATGGGTATGTAGTCCTTTTCTCCTTTTGTGTTCTCTGTGTTTGTCTTGAAATGGATAAGAAAATCCAGAGATCTTGAAATGTTAATGATGCTATGCAACTATATGGAACCTTAGACCATTAAACATTCAAAGCATTCTATTGGAAACATACAAGTCCAATGTTAGCAGTCCGGTAAAGATTATTAGAGGCGAAATTCTTCTGCTCCATTTTCCAACTTTTTTCATCCTTCAAAATTGATTCTTACTCCAGAGATCTTGTCCGTGGTTAGCTTGAGTCGTTCAGAAGAAAAATTGAATCTCGAATTGGTTTCATCTCATGTGAAACATGCAGTGTAGATTTTAGATGGTTGCAGGGTAGGTGAACCATTATGGTTCACTGCTCTGCCATACCACTTGATCACCCTCTCTGAGCACATGTGCCTTGTAGTCTTGGATCCTTTTAATTGGGTGGCCCCAACACCACTTGACAGCGTTTCTTCTAGACTCCCTTTTAGCCACAGACAAGTGGGGGATGGGATTTAGGTGAGTTAACTATCATTTGGCCCACCATAATATAATTTGACAGGTTGTTGAAACTTGAAGGTGCTAAACAAGTCAAAGCGCCTTTATCTGCATCATTCAGCTATGTGATTAAGAATGACTAGAAGTATGACAGTTTGCACATTCTGTAGTGTATTATCTGTTGTTAGATTAAGCATGCTGACTTCAAATGGGTCATAATACTCAAGTTATGGGTCGTTTGAGGCCCGTATTGTTAGGGTGGATGAGATAATTTATGGGGAACATACCTGCAAGCTTTTATGTTGGTGCTTATACTTATAATTGACTGCCAGATTTTATTTAGGATGAAAACCTTATTCTGAATTACTTCTTTTAGTTGTTTAGATTATTATATTAGGGTATAGTAACTTCTGTTTTCCATTTAGAATAATATACAAATTTTGGTTCTACTTTAGCTTCAGCTTGAATATTATATTTACAAATCGAATGGATTTGAATGCAGGTTCAGGTATATGTGGGGGTCGATGCATCAATATCATGAAGTTCAGAACAATATTGTGCAGCAAGTCCGTGGCCTTATAAACAGATCAGGAAAAGGTGATTCAACTTCCGAACTGCACAGGCAGGCAACACGTGATCTTGAGTCAGCTGTCTCTGCCTGGCACTCTAGTTTCTGCCGTTTAATAAAATTTCAACGGGATTTCATCCGCTCCCTCCATGGCTGGTTCAAGCTCACCCTTCTTCCTGTCAGCAATGACTATGTTGATGTCAATGGCAACACACAGCCCTCTGATGCATATGCTTTTTGTGACGAGTGGAAGCTTGCCCTTGACCGAGTCCCTGACACAGTAGCTTCTGAAGCTATCAAAAGTTTTGTCAATGTTGTCCATGTGATATATGTTAAACAATCAGAAGAGATTAAAACTAAGAAGCGAACCGAAACTGCATCGAAGGATCTTGAGAAAAAGGCGTCATCTCTCCGGAACATAGAGAGGAAATTCTACCACTCATACTCTATGGTTGGTATCGGCCTTCCTGATTCTGGGCCTGATCATGGGCAGGTACTGGATGCTCGGGATCCCCTTGCGGAGAAAAAATCCGAGCTTGCAGCCTGTCAAAGGCGGGTGGAAGATGAGATGTTGAGGCATGCCAAAGCAGTAGAGGTGACAAGAGCAATGACTCTGAATAATATTCAAACAGGCTTGCCAGGCGTTTTTCAAGCATTGACCAGCTTTTCTGCCTTATTTACCGAGACACTCGACTCGGTTTGCTCCCAATCCTATCGTATCAAATAGATGAATACATTTTTCTTCCACACATGAATTTTTTAAGGTAAGTTGAAAATTTATAAGAGTTGGGGTTTGCTTTGGTTGTTGGCTCTTATAGTTGTCGTTTATTTTTGTGGGGGAAGTGTAAATACATGGGAGGTGGTCTTTTTGTGGTTTGGTCAATTATCAATTGTCAAGCAAAGGCAAGTGTCTGTACAGGAAATTGCCTTTCATTCTTCATTCTTGTATCGCAATAGACAAAAAAAAGGGCTGCAATTTTAGCAAATGAATAAATGCCCCTTTTTGTTTACATATTTTCTGGTGGGGGTTATTTGTGGAGAGTAGGGACCAACCAATGCATTATTGATGGGAGGGGCCACTGGCTACTGGGCTGGCAATGTTAAAAGCTCCATTTATCAGTAAGTTGTTCTTCTCTTCATTGCTTTTGTTTTCAGTAATTTGGATTTCCCCATTACTTGTTGGACCACTGTCTCGATCTTTTAGTATTATTTTTTGTGGGATAATCAAAATGCTTATAGTGGAATCCAAGATCCAGAAAAAAAGGGTTATCAGGGGAATCATGCAGTTAGCCATCATCATCCAGAGAGTTCGGTTGACCTCACCGGCTGCAAAGTAGGATCTTCACCGCCATTTTTATATATTTTTAAAACCTGCATTTTTATACATTTTGGCTTAATATTATTTAGAGTTGGTCCACTCTTTGAATCCCAAGCCTGTAACTGTTAACATTTGTTTATTCGCTTTTATCAATACACTGACAAAAAAACACATCCATTGCGTGAGGACCAAGCAAAGAATCGACAAGAATACACAGCTTGACCAAAAGGTAAAGAAAAAAATGATACGAAAGTAAAAGTTGAATATTGTGGCGCCAGTCTGGTGGGCCTCATTGCCTATTGCTCAGAAGTAAAAGAAAAAGAAACCTTTTATCTTGGGTCCTTTTAAGTCACTGTGTGTTTGCAATGAACGTGAATTTTCATTGATTTTAAGTAGTGAGCTGATTCAGCTGAAGTATATATATCGTGAGAACAGAGCACTTACTGCCACAGCAAACTCTTGAAATGATTTTTGAGTAATACAACACATCATCCTCTAAATCAAAACTAGAAGAACTCAAAGTCCAGATATTTACCCCAGATTTCATGTCTGTCCCAGGCCCCGGACCCATTCCTACTATCCTTTTACTGTTGCTACCAACCCCAAGTGGCTCCACTGGACCAGGTTTCATGGGCATCCCAGGCGGCAACTCACTTTCCATGGGTCTTGGCACCTCGGGTGGGGTGCTGCATCGTATTAGAGCCCAGTTCACACCTTCAAAGAAAGGGTGTTGCTTGATCTCTGTTGCTCCCCTTTCACCCCTAGCCGGTGCTGCGGTTCCTTCACCAGCAAGCCCCGGATCAAATCACGGCTGGCATAACTTGTTGCTGGCGAATCAGGGAATCTCAGCTGTTGCCCCACGACGTTGAACAATGTAGCACGGTTTCCTGAACCTTTAAAGGGGGTTTTACCGTACAGCAATTCATGCAAGAAGATTCCAAAGGTCCACCAATCAACAGCACTTCCATGGCCTTCTCCTTTAATTATTTCAGGGGCTAGGTATTCGTGGGTTCCAACAAAGGACATAGACCGTGCTGCAGTAGGCTCTGCTACGAGCTCCGGGAGGGTACTAGAAGGCAACCCAAACTCAACTCGAGGTTTCCGATTTTTCTTCTTGTTCTTTTGAGGGAATAGCCGTGGGAGAAAGCAGGCAGGCTGGATGCAAACAGATGTAGGCTCAATACAGGCAGGCTGAACACAGGATGCACCACCAGCTCCACGTTTTGAAGGATCAGAATCAAATGCCGAGGTTTTTATCAGGGTGGGAGAAACGGCACATCTTAAGGAAAGATCAAAGTCCGAGAGCATTATGTGGCCATCATCACGAACTAAAACATTTTCTGGTTTCAAATCCCTATAGACAACACCAAGCATGTGGAGATACTCGAGTGCTAATAGAACCTCCGCCGCATAAAATCTGCATTAAGGACAAGGGTTTAGAAATTTTTTAACCTGAAATTTACTTATCTCTTTGACACACACACACACACCTGAAAAAGAAAAGCTTATGACACCGATATGATGACCAATGTCTTTATACCAGCTATACAAAAACATAAATAACATCCAAGGCATGATGAATAGATACATAACAACCTTAGAACACTGGCAAAGGAATTACGCTTCCAGATAATCCAGCCTTTCGTGTTCAAGGAATTACTGGGTATTATTTCTTCACAAAAAAAAATCAGATAAAGATTTCATTCCATGACATATAAACTAATAAAAACATCCCTAAAGGTTCCAAGATGAGAAAAGATATGAAAGAGATGAAATAGTGTTAACTACATATGCACAACATTTAGGCAACATAAAAGAGGAAATCAATGCAAGTGCACACCAATCAAATAACTAGGAACCAACTTTCCCATAATCCTAATACAGAAATATTAAAACCAGGAGTAGGAGTCATGACCAACAGAAAAATAAAATAAAAGATCAGCAAAATCAGAGAAACAAGAGGAAAATATCTTGAAAGCCAATATGAAAAAGAAGATCAAGGAAGGGGAGCTAAATAAAAATAACATATAAAATAAACCTTACTGCAGAAAGCATTTTTTTTCCGGTTTACAGTTCTAAGCAACCGGGAGAATGTTTGAGTAAATAAAAGATACCTTGCAGCATACTCAGAGAAATGCTTTCCAGGTTGCCGTTGCCTCAAAGTGTGTAGATCACCCCCGGGACAGTATTCCATGACTAGACACGAGAACCTGTCAGTTTCAAAATGTGTATACAGAGTAGGTAGAAATGGATGGTCTAGTAGCTGCAGAATCTCCCTTTCTGTTTGAGCCCTACTCAACTTCTTACGACTTGCAAGGGATGCCTTGTCCATTACTTTCATTGCAAAATAACAACGAGTACCACTCAGCTCTGAGAGATAAACACTGCCAATGTCACCACAACCAAGACGTTTGAGCAATCTAAAATGACTCATTCCTAAAATTCCATCTCGAGCCCGAATAGCAAGGATGGCCTTCCATCTAGGATCATTTCCTTTATGAGGTTTATTAGCACTTCCGGTGATGTTACTCCAGTTACTGTCATCACTAAGACCACTGCTATCACTTGCTCGGCTAACACTAGTCTTTGCGCTCTCAAGTGAATCTGCTCTAACACTTCCCTTTGTACTCTCGCAGTTCCTATCCATGCTAAACATGCCATCACTAGTAACAGCATCACTCCTATACGTACTGGCACAGCTATTGACAATGCTCATTGCAGTCACCACCCCGGTACTGTCAATGCTGCTATGTGGACTTACATTACCACTTGGAGGCAAAGAAGCATCCCAAACACATTCCTTTTCATCTGAATCTGGAGGAAGGAGAGAGTTCTCTGTATTTTGTGATGGTCGTGGAACTGAAAACAGAGAAGAGATTACACCAGGATCATTGTGTTCTTCAACAAAACCATCTGCTGATAATGGAACAGTATGACTTGGTTTCTTAGAAGGAACTCTAATTGAAAGATCTTCTAGAAAAGGTCCCTTCACTGACATGCTCTTCATCAAACACCCGGGATCGGACTTCTTCTGACCAATCGGTACATAAACAGTTTTTATCAGATCTGTGTCAACGGGTTCAGGAGGGTGACTAGCTCCAGAAAAAGAACTAGGCCCGCTTTCCTCCAAAGAATCACTGCTGCCCTTACAAGTAATAACATCAGGCATGAATTCTTCGTGTTCAAGCAAAGAATCTTTCCCTTTCCACGTTCTTACAGGTTCAGTCAACTTGAAATCCAGTGAGTTTCCCGAATTGGCTCGACCAGTTTCATCTCTAACCAATACGGCTTGTAAATTCGGCACAAGACCTGCTTCTCTCCCAAAGACGGAAAGCGTATTCGATACTGAGCTCAGCGCAGGCAATCTTCTAGGAAATAACTTCGATTCCGTAGCCCTTTTCATTCCAGACAATCTTGAATCTTTACATGGAATTATCTTAATCTTACAGCAGAAAAGTCCTGCAAAAGGAGAATGAAACTGAGCTCGATCATTTCACTAGTTTTCTGGTTGGACTTTAAAAGGCAATCCACTAAACCATTTTCTATTCCAATATTCTTTTAAACATACCAATCAACAATTCCATTTTCTTATCTTAGACAACTCCATCGGCAAACCCAAAAAGGAGGCATTAATCAATTGAAAACAAACATCAAAATCGACATGCTACCAAACCATCTTATCTACATTTAGTTCACAAATTATACTTTCAAAATAGAAAACTTAATTTATCATATATTCCCTCTTCCAGCATTTTCTATCTAAACAGGTAAAGACTTTCTAAAACAAATTTTAGCAGTAAAAGAATATATGAAACTCACAAGAATATACCAATCAAAGCTCTCTGACTAAACTCTAATTTTTAGCGCCAAATATTGAAAAAGAACATCAACTTGCTGCTGAAACTAAAGCAGGTCAATGAAATAAACTGGTGAAAACTTGAGATACAATTAACTGAAACGCCAAACAAAATATGTCACTATTAAGAGAAACCCTAGTTTTTTTAAAATGGGAAAAAAACCTTGGATGCTATCACTAAACACTTTCAGCCTCTCCCCCTTTTCAAAAAAAAATCTAAAAAGAAGAAACGCGAAGAATGTTCTCTAATTCCAAGTCAGCAAATATACAGAGAGATCCTCATAATCCCATCAGATAAAAGGTAAACGGAATCAAACTACAGAACATTCAAGACAAAAATAAGAAACCCAAATCCCTCAAGAAAAAATTACACAGCCTAAGAAGAATAGCAACCTGTACGGAAACTTCAAAAAAGAAACCATCAAGGGATTAAGAAACAGAGCTTTGTATTAGTCCAAAGCCTCGAATTTCTGTGTGTGTGCAAAATTTCCAAAAACCAAAAATGCTAAATTAACAGATATTGATAGAGAGCCCGAGCTCTTACTTTCTCTCTCTAGACTCTGCTTCTTTTCTTTTTTCTTCTGTTTTTTTTTTAAGCTCTGCTACTAAAAAAAAAAGCTTTAGCTTATTGTGTGACGGTTTAGAATTGGCAGTCTAGCTTTTGCTTTTGCTTTATTTTCTGAGACACAGTGGGCGAGTTTTTCTTAGCTTTCTGTAAGAGATTAGTGAGTGGGAAGGTCAGCCAGCCAGAAATGAAAATATAATTTTAGTAATATTTTATTTATAAATTTTAAATAAATGGTTAGTTTAACATTTATTTTTTTAAATAATATTATCTAATAAAATGACATTTTTTAAATAGTATTTAAATAGTTTAAAAATTAGTAACTAATTTTATTTATTTGAAAAATATTTTATAAAAAATTATAAAAGCATTTAAAATTTTATTAAGTAATATAAAAATAATAAACAAAATTATTCTATTAAAATTATTTTTTTAATAAATAAAATAATGAAACTAGCAGAGTGAAAAAATAGAAAATTCTTAAAATTTCGATCAAATCCAACTAAATTGATTGCATCCTAACTAGAGAGAGAGGATTCAATTTGGGCCCACATTACGCGGGCCCCACTTCTGTTCCCTCTTTAAGCTACATTGCTTTTTAAAATGTAGCCCCTCCCCTCTCTGTAC